ACGGCATGAGTGTCCTCCAATGGGCCAGGAGGACCCACCTCCCACTGGGCCTGTGCCCACTGTCCATCTTGTATCCTCCACCCCTCTGCCTCGCCTGCTCTGGGGCAGCCCAGTGGCCCTAGGCAGACCTGTGGCCAGACCAACTGTCAGACCCCACAGCGGCACTGGACTCTTCTCCGCCATCTGGTGGCTGTACTCTGCAACTGCTGTAGTCTACACCCCTGCCCTGAAGCTGACCACAGGGGCCATGCCCAGTTCCCCTGAGGGCCAGCCCAGGAGCCGTGTGTTCACAGCCTTCTCTTGCCTGGAACTACCACTTCCAGCAGGGGGGTGTCAACAGTCTGTTTGGTCTCCTCCAGTTGCCAGGGCTGAAACAGTTTCACTGGTGTTAAGGCTGCCATGTGCTCAGAAGGGAACCCGTCTTAGGGTGACTCCCCCCCAATCAAACCCAAGGTATTCCTGGGCAGCCTAAGGCCTTGGGTACCTCCAGCAAGAACCCATATGACAGACACCTGTCCCCTGGATCACAGAATGCACACGATGACTTTTACCTCATTGTTACTCAAAAGTTTTAGTCTGAATCAACCTTCTCAAGAGGCCTGCCACACGCATGCTGTGGTTCCTGAGTCCTGTGTGAACAGACTTCTGATCCATTGGAGTCCCTTCCACCAACACTGCCCTCCTTCGTCCTCATGTGATGGTGTGTTTCTCACCCAACTAAGGATGGATGGGAACCTACTGCCAACTATTAAGGGGACCCTGGGACCAAGCGGGACACTGTGCCGGTATCCAGGGGGCACAGGAAAGTGAGGGGTGCTGAAACCTGAGCTGACTGATCACCTGGCACAGAGTTCAGGTAGCCAGGCCCTGAGACGAGGCCATGTATGCCAGTCTACGTGAACTTCCAGGACAGCAACCCTGAGCTCCTGCATCCTCCCCCAGGATGGTGATGGACCAGCTCTTGGTGGGGCTGGGCCAGCTCTGGCATGTGGCAGATTCAGAGCTTCCTACAAATAGAGCTGCCAGCAGAGGCTGGGGCAGAGCTGGAGCTTGATTCCCTGCAGCATAGCTACTCCTGTCCCCACAGGTAGGGCCATACGCCCACACCCAGGTATCTGCTCCCCTTCTGGGTCAGGCTGCTAGCTGTGAGGCCAAATGTCATGGCCCTGAGTTCAGCAAAGAAGCCTAAAATCCTGTCTGAGCATGTCCCCAGTTCCACCAGCAAAGAGATGTGATGGGGGGGTCCACAGGGTGCTGAGCCCTCATCACCCAGGAGCCCCATGGACGCTGCTCCTCCCCTGCCAGTCCCTCACCCTGCTGAGGGCACATTGAGGCCATGGGGATGGTGACAGCTTTGTTAACCCTTTGCTTGATCTCAATCAAGCTGTGGCCTTCCATGGACCAGGGCAGGGGATACACAGAGGTCTCAGCATGCCCACAGCCCTCCACTCCAGACCCACAGCTTGAATTCCAGGTGGCCACACACTGTACTGTCTCCATAGTGACAACCAAGAGCCCAAGCTGCAGAGGAATGGACACAAGAGCCCCTCTCAAGACTCTGTCCCATACCTTTCCCTGTGCCCCAGGGTTGGACTGAGGAAGTGGCCAGGGCATGTCCCTGACAGGGCTCACCACCTGGAAACCCACGCTGGGGTGCACCCAGCTAAATGCAGCAGTGGGTCAGATCCTATGGAGGCTTATCCCTGAACTCCAGAGCCCTGGAGAGGAATACCAGCCCTCAGCAGGTCCACCATTTAGACTGCTGGAGAGAGGGCATGCCCTTGACCTGTTCCTTCCAGGACAGCACAGGAGCCCCCGGGCTTGAATCTGCAGATAGCACAGGAGTGCGCAGACGCAGCAGGACTTTCTTATTGTACGTACTGTTGGGCTTCATACAGACAAGTTCTTGTGTATTGCTGTACTTTGACCACATTCACTCCTCATTTCCGCTTTAACCCCACTTCCCCCCTTTACACTGGTCTGCTTCCTCCCTCTGGTCCTCCCGTTTTCAGCACACACACACACACACACACACACACACACACACGCTATGGTTTTTATGTTTTACATACCATAAATATAAACCATATATGGTTTATATATTCATAAAGAATTTCAAGTGAAAAAAGATGTGGTATTTGTCTTTCTGCATCTGAATTATTTTGCTTGATATGATGGTCTGCGGTCACACCCATTTTCCAATAATGGCACAATTTTGTTCCTCTTCATGACTAAATAAAGCTCCATTGTGTATATGCACCACATATTTTTTATCCTTTCATCCAGTGACAGACACCAAAGTTGGTCCCATGACTTGGCTATTGCGAATGGGGCTGCAATCAATGTGGACATGGAAGTGTCTCTGTAACATGCTGACTTGTTTTTTTTTGGGGTCTATACCCGGGAGTATCCTGGGTCATACAACAGTCATCTTATTTTTGTTCTAAGGAAACTTCATATTGGTTTCCATAGTGACTGTGCTAATTTACACTCCCACCCCCAGTGTATAAGGGTTTCCTTTGCCCCAACCTCGCTGGCACTTGCTATTTAATTTCTTAAAGACTGCTGTTCTGACTGAGATGAGACAGAATCTCAGTGTAGCTTTAGTTTGTATTTTCCTGATGGCTAAGATGCTGAACATTTTTCATGTTTATTGAACATTTATATTTCATCTTCTGTAAACTGTCTGTTCATTTCATAAGTTCACTTATTAATTGGAGTGTTTGGTTTGGGGGTATTTAGATTTTAAAGTTCTTTAGTCTAGATATTAATCCTCTGTCAGATATATAGCTAGCAAAATTTTTCTCAATTCTGTGACTGTCTCTTCATTAAATAATTGTTTCCTTTGTTGTACAGAAACTTTTTCATTTCATGCAATCCCATTTATCAATCCTTTTTTAAATTTTTATCTATTATTTTTATTTTTATGTGTATGTGCTTATTGCCTGCATGTAAGTAAGTGAGCCCGTGTCCTGCATGTAAGTAAGTGAGCCCGTGTCCTGCATGTAAGTAAGTGAGCCCGTGTCCTGCATGTAAGTAAGTGAGCCCGTGTGGGCTCTCCTGGGACTGGAGCCTGCATGTAAGTAAGTGAGCCCGTGTCCTGCATGTAAGTAAGTGAGCCCGTGTCCTGCATGTAAGTAAGTGAGCCCGTGTCCTGCATGTAAGTAAGTGAGCCCGTGTCCTGCATGTAAGTAAGTGAGCCCGTGTCCTGCATGTAAGTAAGTGAGCCCGTGTCCTGCATGTAAGTAAGTGAGCCCGTGTGGGATCTCCTGGGACTGGAGTTACAGACAGTTGTTAGCTGCCATGTGGGTGCTAGGATTCGAACCCAGGTCTTCTGCAAGAACAACCAGTGTTCTTAACCGCTGAGCCATCTCTCCAGCCCCTCAATCCTTTTTTCATATGTGCATGTGAATGTTTTGCCTGCATGTATGTAAGTATGTCCATGTTGCCCGATGCCTGAGGAGGCAAAAGAAGGCACTGGGTCCCCTGGAATTGGAGCTATGGACAGTTGTTAGCTGCCACGTGGGTACTGAGAATGGAACCCGGGTCCTCTGCAAGAGAAGCCAGTGTTCTTAACCACTGAGCCATCTTCCCCAGCTCCCTCCCCCATTTATCAGTTCCTGAGCTATTGAAATCCTTTTCAAGAAGTCCTCTTATCTTGAAGTGTTTCCTCTAAGTTTCAAAGTTCCAGGATTTTGACCCATTTTGAATTTTTTTTTTGGACAGGGTGAGAGATGAGGCTCCAGTGTCACATTTCTGCATGTGAATCTCCAGCTTTCCTGGCATCATGCTGAGTAAGGTATCTGTTTCTCCATGTGCAGTTTCAGCACCTATCCAAACTTGTGTGACTGCAGCTGTGTGGGTTTACAGGGTTCTCTGTTCTATCCCATTGATCTACACGTGTTTTTGTTGGTACGGGTCTGTGGTGTAACTTGAAATCAGTTATCCTGCTTTCTGTGTGTCATGACCTCAGACTCTTGCCCAGCATGGTGCACCCTCTACAGCAGCACACAGAGGCTCTATGGGGGCACACGGCAAAACCACAGGAACACACTAAGGCTCTGGTTGGGCCCTCTACATACACCGTGTGAGTGCACTGTGATTCTGGCATGGTCTTGAGCATATGCCAAGGAAGCACATAGATTCCAGCAGGGAGTGTCTGCTTTGTGTCCCTGGGGCACGCAGACATTCGGACGTGGTATTCAGCATATCCCACAGGGGCACACAGATTGTGGCAGGTCCTTCTGTGTACGCTCTACAAGCTCAGAGGCTCCGGCAGGGCCTGTAGCAACGTACCTGAGCTTGCTCAACCCAGCTCTGTCCCTGCCATGTGATTATAGAGCTGTTTTCTTCCTTTGGATCCTATTAAACTAGGGATGGTGGAACTGGGGGAGCAGCTCAGCCTAGCACCTGCCTGACTTTGGCCAAGGAAGACTTCCTGGCAAACCTTTCATCCCAGGCAAACAGACAGGTGTCACCACTTTGGGAAGATGCCTCTGACAAATTACTTCCAAAGTAGGTTCTACTTGGTTGTTTTTCCTTTTCTCGGCCGCTTCAACAAAAGCAGTAGAAAACAAAATGAAGTCAAGAGGAAAGCTGCTGGATTACTAGACGGAGCAAAACGCTCCCAGCTCCCTCCGTGGAGGGCAGGAAGCATGGGCAGGGTGCATGCCTCCTCCTTGCTCAGGAAGGGGAGTGCCCTGGGGATCTGGGGCATCCATCAGAGTCTTCATGACCCATCCAGACATTGAAAGATTCCTGGATCCCCAAAGACCAAGTGATTCACAAGGCTCATATTTCATGTGAGACGTCACAGTTACTTATTGGGAAAACAGCTTTTCTAGAAGAAAGAAGAAGTCCTCCTCCTCCTCCTCCTCTTCTTCCTCCTCCTCTTCCTCCTCCCTCTCCCCTTCCTCCTCCTTCTCTTCCTCCTGTCTCCAGTCTGCCTGGCCAAGGCCTGCATTCCACTCCCACCCTGGTCCCTGGGGCCCATCTCCTACCTCCTGGCTCACAACTTCGTCCTCAGGTCACAGCACAGAGGAGTGGCCCAGGGCTCTTGCAGTTCCTCCCATGAGGTGCTCTGACCCCCGCCAAGTCCTTCGTAGGGCTATGGAGAAATATGTTTTTCTTTTAGACATGTTGACCTATTTTTTAGAAAGCTTTCAGTTTAGGGCACTTGTCATACAACAATAAGGAGAAACTCTAATCTGAAAACGCCACAGATTTTCTCCACCCTAACAAATTGCGCTCATGACTGTCTGTCCTGCCTGCTGTTGGTCTGGCACATATACAGTCATCCCAGGGGAACAGCCACGCCTGCAACAGAAGTTTGCATTTGGCTTTTTCCAGTTAGCGCATCCTGAAACTTTGTCCGTATTGCTAATCTTCCAAATTATTTCAGACAATGGGGCATACCGCACAGTGAGGGGGTGCAGCGTGGTTTGCCCTCTGTCCTCTGACTCTGGCTTTGAGGTCACTTCTCATTTTCCCCTGGTGGTCAGCGTTGCAGTGAGGTCTCTGCATGGTCAGGATTATTTATGGACAGTCTCCAACAGTGACACTTCAATCACTTCTAATGACCTCATGGACAGTGACAGTGATCATGACAGCAACTGCAAACACCCTAGAGACAGGCACTTTATGAGCCTGGCTGAGCCAAAGAGAACACACACTGATTCTGTTCTGTGTTTTTCTTTCCACAGATTCAGATAGCTACATGGACCAAATGCCAGTCTGAAAATAGCTATGAAGTGCTCTCTGTGGGAAAGGCTAAAGGGGCCTCCAAACTCCTCCACACAGGTGATGCAAACTCCATGGAATAGTCAAAATAAGCTTTTCAGATCTTAAAATGAACTAAAGACTTGCAGCAATCCAGAAGCATTTGTTCAAGAAAAAGTCTGACTCTCGTGGTGAGCAGTGAGACTTGTGGCCTTTGCCTGGTCCTGACACCCCACCTGAACCCTGCAGCAGCCTGACCATCTGGGTCCCCTGGATCAGGGAAGCCAGGCCCGTCTGTCCACAGTGATGGTGACTGAAAACTGCAGGTTCAGCCTAGGATAATGCCAACGGGGCCACAGGACTGGGAAAGAAGCAGGCTCAGAAAAACTCCAGGAACCATGGGCTTTGGAGTCGGCTTGCACGCCTAGGGCTAGCACACGCTCCAGGCCCTGCATGTGCGGTCGGAGGACTGAGGCGGCCTCAGTGCTGGCCATTCCAAGGTTTCTGGTGAGCAGGAAGTAAAGGCTTCTGCACCATAGTTACCTGCTTGTTTGAGAGTTGAAGATGCACCCCAACACTCCATAGCACCCCTCTGCTAGGGCTGTGAGAATGCCAGTTCCAGGAGCTAAGGAAACCTCCGTCCAGCTGTGAACCTCACACTGACAACTGGCTCAGAAATGCCACCCAACAGGCAAATCCCAGCCACAGAGCAGGCGGCTCAGGTGTTCAGAGCTGGCATATTATTGAAAGGTCTCGGGCACCATAGAGGATGTTGAGACAAACTTCCTAGAGGCTACAAGATTTAGTTAACAGTATGGACAGACAGCAGCATACTGAGGCTCCGAGGAGACAGGCAGCGTGGCAGGGTCTCTGAAAAGAGGAATCAGAACCCTGGTGACAGAAGCAGGGTCTCATCTTACACCTTTCTGAGGATGGTCTGATTCCCAGGCAGGAGGCAGGGAAGGAAATAGGGAGCCCATCAGATTATGTGGCCACCAATACCCTGTTTGATGTAAACTCACTTTCCAAGTGAGAGATCCAGGCACCTGGGAGTCTGTTAGCTAGGGGCTCAGAGACAATGTCTCAGCAGAGTGCTGGTAAACATCTGTGTCAGGGGAAGGCAGGTATTGTGGTCTGAGGAGCAGCTGGGTTCTAACATTACTTTTCTTTTTCCTTTTGACACAGGGTCTCTCTATGTAGTCTGGTCACCATGTAGGCTAACCTGGAACTTACTATGTAGACTAGACTGGCCTTGAACTCATTGAGCTCTGCCTGCCTCGCCTCCTAAGTGCTGGAATTAAAGACGTGTACTACCACGTCCAGCTTAACATTACATTTTTACAATTATATTGTTACATTGTTATAATTATATTTAAATAATTATATTGTTTAAAATGCTCATGAAGCCAGGCATGGTGGCGCATGCCTTTAATCCCAGCACTGGGTAGGCAGAGGCAGAGGCAGGCAGATCTCTGTGAGTTCAAGGCCAGCCTGGTCTACATAGTGACTTCTAGGACAGCTGGGCCTACAGGAGAACCTGTCTCAAAAAGAGCAAAAAAAAAAAAAAGATGTTCATGAAGCCAGGGTGAGGGGGGACATTATGGGGGAACTAGAACAGTCTCCACGGACACTGTCCCCAGGAGGCTCATGGAAAACCAATGTATAAAGGCAGCTCCAGAGGTGACTATGAGGACATTATGTCCATATCTTTGTTGGTAACTTTTTCTAACTTAAACAATAATACCCATCAGTGTTGATGAGCTCTCCCTGTAGCAATCTGGGAGACAAAGGAAAGGGAAAGTCACATTGTGGTTACAAGCTAAGCTTCCCCACTGTTAAATGGAGTTTGTAGTCATGGGAACTCTGTTGACACACCGAAGGGCAATTGTAGTTCCCAAGGCGGCCACTGAAGAGACACTTCAGGAATACGTGGTAAAGAGGGTTAGAACGGTGCATAAACAGCGCCTTTCAACGCCAAGACAGGCTGAAATGGAGAAATAAAAGACTTAAGACGTATTTAGGAGAGGGAGAACAGTTACTTCAGTTAACAGTGCAGGGGCCACTGAACAGCCGCATGGAAAAGAATGAAGCCATACCCTACTCCAGCCGCATGCAAAAATTAATGAGAAATGGACCAAGCTAAAAATTAAAATATTTAGAAGAAAAGAGAGGTAAATATTCATGATTTTGGATCAGGCACTGATTTCTCAGATGATACCAAAAATGTAATAGACCAAGAAAATCACAGATAAACTGAACCTCATCAAAATTAAAAATGTGTTTGACTTAAAGCATACTTCTGGACACCTGCCAAATGTCCTTACTGTTCTGTGTCATCTTGCTGTGTTTATTGACATGTTGGCTGCTTCTTTTATATATTTTTTTTTCAGAGCTGAGGACCAAACCCAGGGCCTTGTGCTTGCTAGGCAAGCGCTCTTCCACTGAGCTGAATCCCCAGCCCCTAAACGTATTTTTTAAGAAGCATAAAAACAGTACACAGGATAACAGAAAATACTAGGAAAATCACCTATCTGATAAGAGATTGGTGTCCAGAGTAGAGAGTTATCACAGCTCAACAATAAAACGGCAATACGACTTTTAAATAGAGAAAATATCTAAAAGACATTTCTCCACAGAAAGTGTCCCAATGGCCAGTGGGCATTTGAGATGCTCTGCACCATGTCGTTAGCAAAATGCAAATCGGAGCAGTCCCACCCGAACACTGCTGGTAGGGTTTGCATTCCATAGCCCAGTGGTAGCCAGACAGCAGCAGCAACCCACCCGTCCACCAGCTGAGGGATGGAGGCATACATGATACACTGGAGTGGTGCCCCACAGAAAATGAACTGATACACGCTTTGCAGCATGTGAAACTTGAAATGCTCCGTGAAATGAGTCATGTACAAAAAGCCACATATTCCATGATTCCATTGGTATGAAATATTCAAAATAGGAAAATATATTGAAAAGGAAATTAGACTTTCAGGTTCCAAGGGCTGGTGAGGAGGAAGGGACAGGAGTGAGGCTATTGAGTTTTCTTTGTAGAATGATGGAATGTTCAAAAGCAGATAGTGATGGTTGAAAAATATTGTGAATATACTAAAAGCACAGAATTGTGCACTTCAGTGGGTAACAGTGTGTGCTGTGTGATGGCACTCTGATAGAGAAGACATTTATTTGTTATTAATATTTAGGGACAGACCTGGGAGGACATGAACAGTTACCAGTGATGGGAAGATGTTCCCGGGATGAGAGGACACTGAGCTGTTGAAAAATGAAAGAGTATTTCTAATTTAAAACGAGACCATGAATAATTGTGAGCTAATTCCCCTGTAAGCAACAACTAGAATTTCATCAGCGGCCAGAAGGCCTTCCTGGCCATAGCCTCCCAACCAGCCATGCTGAGGGTGGCCGCTGTCATCCGTCTGAATTGACTCTTCCCCCTCCTTCCAGATCACATGTGCCTTTGCGTTTACCCCAGATGCGCAGTCTGAGCCACTTTTGAACTTTAGTGTCAATGGAACTGAACGTGTATAGTTTTCTTCCGCCTGTGTTCAAGGCTCAGCATGCTGTGAGATTCCAGAGTTGCCGCGTTTTTACTCCAAGTCTGAGATTTTACTGAGAAAACACACCTCTGTGAACCCTTCATTCACTAGGGTGCAGATTCTAGAACATCCTAGGCCCCATGGGCACAAGTTCACAGGAACTCACATCCTTAACTTCATAGGAAATGCTCCACTTTTCCAGAGTGGTTGACGCATTTGAGACTCCCAGGTTGTGCTGTCCACTCAGCCGTACCTTCAGCAACATGCTGCACGGCCAAGCTTTTCCACCTTGCCAGTCTGGTGGGAGAGTGACAGCATCTCACATTACAGCTCGTTTTGCATTTCTCGGGCCACTGGTGAGGTGGGGGGACTGTTCACCAGTTTATCGGCTGTTTGGATGTCTTCCTTATGAAGTACCACTTAAGCGCCCTTTGTGTGTGTGGATATGTGTGTGTGAGTGTGCATGTGTGTGCATATGTATGTGTTTGTCCATGCACGTAGGCATGTATGTACATGAGTACTTATGTGTTCATGCGTGCGTGTGTATATGTATGTGGGTGCGTATGTGGGTGCCTTGTGTGCATGAGTGTGCATGTATTTGCATGTGTACGTGCACTGGGAATTGAACCCAGAGGCCTTGTACATGCTAGCCAGTGTTTTGCCACTGAGCTATAACCCCAGCTCCATAGAAATGTATACTTTTTTTTTTTTTTTTTGGTCTTTTTGAGACAGGGTCTCCCTGTAGCTCCAGCTGTCCTGGAACTCACTATGTAGACCAGGCTGGCCAGTGGGTCCCAGGTTGCCATGCCTTATGGTCAGACTTGAGACCCCATGGTGAGCAGGG